AAAAAAAAAAAAAAAAAACAACAACGAAATACTATTGCAACATTCTCTCTAAAATTCACACATATTTATTCATTCTTTCCAAAAAGGAGATTCCTGAGTAAGTCATAGGCATACCCAGAACACAAGTAGCAATATGACATTTGTAAACATTAGAATCTCAAATAGATGCTGTAAAGTTTTATACCTATGCCTCAAATATAATGCCCACAAATTCTGCCTGAAAATATTGTAGACTTAGAGAAGGGAAAATAAGGTTGGAACAAAGTTGAAAATTAAATTTTTCCAACCCACGTGCTTTACTGATCCTTATTAGAATTTTCTATGGCTTTTGGTTTACACCCTCCTCCCCAAGCTGCATGTCTTATTCTTTCTTAGGCATCTTTGGTTTCTCCTCTACTATATTCTTGTTCTCTACCACAAAATATCAAAACCCAACAAGATGAGGCTGTTTAAAAACAAGTTTAAAACTTACTTGGGTCGGGCATGTTTTTAGCCAAACACTGGAAACCAGGTATCTATGATATGAGGGGGGAGAAAAAGCTATAATAAAGAGCTTAATTACAACTAGTACTTTGCTGATAAGAAATGAGGCACCTGATATGATCGTTTTCAATTTAGTATTAACTTGTGTTATGAAATGAAGGTTAAGTGACCATCCTTTCTCATAAACTCCATCTGTAGTTCTACATCTACGGAGCTCCGTTGATCTCTATAGAGAGACCTATATCTGCATTTGTACTCTATACTTGCCTCTACAGGCCTACATCTATAGAGAGGCATGAACAAATGTGTTCTAGACAGACTGACCTGAAGGCAAACAGACTATGTGCCAGGGAATAGGTAAAACGTGGCACAAGAACGTGATACAGAAAGTTGGAGATACATCCTCTCAGAAGCTCCAGCCCTGAGCTTTGGGGTTGTAGCTCTGAGCAGGATTTTCAGCCACAGCCCTGCAATCTATTCTGGAGACTGGCTCTAGAGGACGGTAACCTAGGGAGCCAACTTACCGCCTCGTTACAGAAGAGGGTTAAAAAATAAAAATCAAATGGCACAGGGCAGCCTACAGTAAGATACCATTTTTATAAAGTTCACCAAGAAGCCAAACTGAACAGCCTTGTTTAAACGGTATATTCATAGGTTGAAAAGTACTTTAATTTTAAAAAGAGAAGCAGATGAAAAAATTTCAGGATGGCAGGGGACTGAGATAGGTGGATATATGGGTCGTTTGGAAGATAATGTATAGGCAATGTCCCAGATTTTAGTTTGGTAATTCATTACATTATGCCTGATAATGTAGGCGCATGTTATGTATATCCTTTGCATATATTAAGTATTGCATATTTAATTTTTTAAAATCTGAAGTGGGGAGCAGCGAAGATGTAAAATTATCTGGGAAGTCCCAAATCTGATCCAGCAGCAGATATGGGGGGCGGGGCTCGGGAGTTCAGCCGATGCAGTTCAAAGAAAGGGGTTCCTTTGACTCTAACGGCTGAGCCCTCAGAGAAGTCTTCCAGGCGGTTTTGCCAACCAAAATTCGACCACTGGCTCCGAGTTTAAGAGAGGGCAGCGGGGGACAGGAAGGAAAACACAGGGCTTTGCTAGAGGGCATTAGACGCACGTTCAAACTTCAGTCCTGCGTCCTCTCCCGCCATCTCTCCCTGCAGGCTGACTTCTCCGAGCAGCGAGGCGTTTGGTGCTTACCTTCTCCAGTTCCTTTTTCACCCAGCCATACCAGCCGTGCGTGGTCACATCCCCGCCTCCGTTCCCGGGAACGATCGCTGCCTTGCTAGGAGAAGCCATGAGTGCAGCGAGGCTAGAGTACCCTAGCGCAGGTCCAGCAGAGCTGAACCCAGCCTGCAGCCGCCCGGAGCCTGCGCCGAGGCATCCTGGGAATTGTAGTTCCGGAAACCCAGAGGCCAGGGCTCCGCTCTTCTTGGCCTGCGTTCAGCTGGATGCGAGGGGCAGGGAAGAACCAAGCCTCTGAGCTTCCATCAGTTGTGAAGCAAAGCACCCTTTACTTGCATCCTACTAGTGCTCTCATGTTTTCCCCTTATTTAAGACAGGCTGTGACATGCCCAGGATGTGTTATTTCTTTGCTAGACTTACTGATATTTCTTTTTTTTTTTTTTTTTTT